GGACCACCGAAACTAGACTGTCTCGAAAAGTAAAGACAAAGTCTTTATATAAACAGATGGAGACTGAAATAGTACAAAAAGCCGTGTGCTCACCCCTGTCTCCAGACCAGAAATGCTCCAAACTCGATCAACGCTGACTACTGGTGCTCGGACCTGCATCACGGAAATAGATACAGAGCGTAGCATGAGTACCAAATAACAGGTACCCAGTAGGCATCATAGGCCGACTGAACTAGAAAAGTAAAGCAGTATGAAAAGATGAAATCACAAAACTAGAGGTCAAGAACGGAAGGCTAAGTAACACAATAATGCACATTTTAAGTCAAAAACCCAAAAGGGTTCGGAAAAATATCAAAAACCTCAAAACCCGAAAGAAGGGTCAAACTAGACCAAACTCGACATTCCAGAGCTATCCGCGCTGACGGAATTCTCATCCGAGCGCGTTTACTCAGAATGTTGACTAAAGTCAAACTTAGCCTTTAACTTAAATTAAAACGCCTAATCACACCAACTCACACTGAAAACTTTGGGAGTCATGTCGACAATGCTACTAGCCTAAAATGACCCTTCCGGAACTGATGGAATCGTCAGAATTGGATTCTGATGTCATCTTAAACTTTTGATCGAAAATGATCGTTCAAGGTTCATAAGCTCCAAAAATACTAAAGCTCACACAATTACCAAACGAATGACCAGGTGACCGATCTGTCAGTCCCAGCAAGTCATAAATGACTTGGAATCGCTATAGGAACTCTCTAAACGATGCACAGAAGATAAAACACTAAAAATGACAAGAAGGGTCATTACAGTTTCCCTTTTCAAAGTCCAAATCTTCTATCATATTTGCGAAGGCCATAATTTTACTTGAAATTCACCTTTTATGTATTCACGTTTTCTGCATTATAAGTTTGATACTTTTGTTTAATAGATAAGAACATTCAGCCAGTGGATTAATTCTCTAATGTCTGACAAAGGTGTTATACTAGAACAAGCTTAGTACAAATTAGTAAGCCTCTTAATTCTATTTGCATATTACATTGGACTAATTTTTCCTTTCATCATGATTCATGGGTGTCAACTTATAAAATGGTTCATGCTTCTTTCATTCGTTGATGCTTCACTCATTCGTTGATCCAGGAGAACCACTTTTCTCTACTGCAACATGAAATTGAAAAACTCAAAAGTGATATAGAAAAGATGCGCCGTGAATTGAGGTTGGCCTTCACAAACTATATTCTTAGTACCACACTACCATTTTCATATTACGGTGTGCTTGTTTTGAAATTTGTAATTTTTTCTCGTCTCTGTTTTGGGTTATTGCAGGTATGAAATTGACAAAGTCTCTGCTGGCCATAGGTTGGATCTCAATCTTGAAAGGGGGTAAGGAGTTACCGTTACTATTTTGTTTTGGCCAGTCATTGCATAACCATTAGTAGTATGATTTGCAGATGTACTGCTATTTAGCTGTTTACGACTAGTCTCAACTGTTGTGCTCTCTGTGCAGGAGAATCCGGGATGAGCTAGCAAATCAGAATCAAGAAACTGCTAATCTCACTAATACACTTGACCGAGTGAGTGTAATAACTATAGATATGCATTTGATAGCTGGTAAATTGTTCTAATACTTTCTGCTGTTGTATGTAATTATGTAATCCCAGGAAATTCATACACTACGGGCTCAATTGGAAGCTGCAAAATATGATGTTATAAAATATTGCATAGGTACCCTTGTGTCTATATCAGCTGTTGGTTTGGCCGTAGTCCGACTTTTGAAGTAAGTAAAATGCTAATTATGATAAAGAATATAGTTGTTTAACAACTTTGATGCTCAATGGATAAAACAGAGTTGTATGACATCTAAATCTCCATTGCATTAGCAGACATCATAACTGTAGCATACTATTTAACTCAATTTTTATTAACTTTTGAGTTGTGGTGTTGTGTGTGTATCTATGTTTGTTGCATAACGCTTGATATGCTTCAAGCTAATTGTAGATTTCAGAAAGTATGACTTTGTTTTAGGGAAATGATCCATGTGAAATTAGTGAAGCTAAAGATTCCCTTTCCTGTAGCAGCAACAATTTCTCAGTTGGCCTATTAATGCCTTCAAATTTTGGTCGAATGTTGTATCAACTGATCTGTTGTCATCAGTTGTGTACCCATTTTAAAATCTCTTATCAACATAAATGCTATGCAAGTTACACTAGCGAGTCAGGGGTTCATTGTTCGATTTGAACTTAGATTTTTGATATAAAATCAAAATCAAATCAATTTAGTTGGTTTTTAAATTTTTTTTAAAATCAAACCAATCATAGATTTGATGACAGTAAAATTATGAGGCATGAGACAACTACTTTATTGAATATTAGGTATCAACAATTTTTTCTATACCATCACAAGATTAATTCATCTGAATTTTATTATTTTTCGATACTATTCCTAAGAGGCAGGAGACAATTTTTTCAAATGAACATTAAAAATCAACAAATTTTTCTACACTATCAGAAGATCAATGTATCTGAATCCTATTATTTTTCAACATTATTCCTAAGCTTTACATTGTTTGAGTTGCATAATTATAGGACGAGAGTGAGTTAAATATCTTTGACTTTGCGTCGTCGAAAGAGCAAAAAGGGTGAAAGCTAGGGTTAAAAAAACGCATAACATTAACACTTCGCTGGGGTTTGTGTCCCATTCCAGTCATGCATTAACACTCCTTTACTTGCAAGTTGTTGGAAGATTTGATAGTGTCATGCATGAATAATTGGAACTTACATTTAAATTATCGACGATTCTTTAATTTGAAAACGATATCTAACAAATTTAAGGTCATTTAGATTATAAGTCATCATATTCGTTCAACTATCTATTTACTCTATCTGATAGGACTTAAACTCAAAATTTGTTACTAAAAATTGGTGAATTTTAATCATCGCATCACAATCGATATTGACTAATTGATTGCGGCTTGTTATGTCTTGGTCGTTTGTATATTTCACAGTTGTTTACCTATATCGTTGGACTCGAGTAATGTTGATGGCCAATTCATGAATTAGAAAGGATTTAATTGTAATTACCTAAGAAAGTATCTGATTAATTAAGCAAATATTTTCACACCATCAGTTAAAACATCTATCAAACGAAACAAATATTTAGGATGGTGAGACTTGTGCTTGGCTCTTCATTTTAATTTTAGCCACTAATACAAATAACTAAAGCTAAAGACATACAGTGTTCACTTAGATTATGTATACTAAATGTGTGTGTCTTAGTTATTAATGTAAGCAAATACTCAACCAAGTTTTTTCAACCTCATTAATTGAAAATGCATAAATAGCAATATTTTGAATTGACTATTCTTATATGTCACAAGAGAAGTTTTGTCCTTTAATGTCCCTAAATTAAAGTTTTCAAGATTATCCAATGTAATTAAACTCCCTATGAACATATTCAAACTCAATTAAGGTTGCTTTCGTCTTCCAATTAGTTGTCAACTTTCTACAATAACAACATTTTTGGGGAGTTGAAAAATTGGTTTTACTTTAATTTGGAACCGTGCATCCACTTAGTGCCGTGAAAAATCTAATTACTAGCATAATTAATTATTATTTGAACTTTTATAGAAGAATCGATTCTTTATTTTTCTTTCGCCGATTTTAATTTAAAAAAGAAAAAAAATGACTACTGTCGTGAAAAAATTAATAATTAATAGCTTAATTAATTAACTATTTGAACTTTAACGTGAGAGGTGTGATTTTCTATTTTCTCTTTCATTCCTTAAATTCAAGAAGAAGAAAAACTAGTATTGTGACAAATCTAATCATTAGCTCAATTAATTAATTATTTAAACTTTTCCGTGGGAATTGATCTTAATAACAATTGGGTAAAATTTATCTTTATTCATCTCTATCTTCGCTAAACTTTCTTCTTTTCTTACTTTTATGAAGTCGACTTTAATAGATATCTTTTTCATTTTCGTAGATGAGTTTGATTCTCTATTTTCCTTATCCTTATCCTAATTTACTATGCCGTGTCCTCCTATTTAATTCAGAACCTCCAGTTTCCTCACTTTCCAGCATTGTAATTCAAACTTTCTCAACGGTCCCAACCACGCTTTGGACCTACTCAAACCTACCCACTATTATTCGATTTCTTCGTTTATTTTTATTTGTTTAATTTATTTTGTTATTATTCCTTTAGATTATTTTTAGAACATCCTTCACCCTTAGGTTATGATAAAAAATTGAGTAATTTATTTTATTATTATTCCTTTAGTTTATTTTTAGGACGTACTTCACCCTTATGTTAATGATAAATTAAATGCTTTGAAGAATGCGTTGAAAGAGGACTATAATTAGTATAATAAAATTAATTAAAAAATAAACAATAAAATATTTTTTTAATTTTCTATACTAAACGAGTAAAAGCGAATATGAAAGGCAAAATAACCTATGTATCCAGTAAATAAATTAAAGAGTACAGGTATGCTTGCCATTTTTCCCCACATTAATGCGTTTAAAAATATATTATTGGGCTCACGTCTTAAAAATGAAGTCATCTTTAATAAAATTTGTTTTCTAATGTGAGATTTTCTGAAATGAATTTTAATAAGTTGAGTTTCAAAAATATGTACATATAGTTTAGATTGAAAGAAAATAATAACATTGTTGAAATTTATCCTAAATTTCCTATATTATTTTCATAACTGTGTTTTACTTTTAAAAATAATGTTTTGTTTCCTTCATAAAATAACACAATAACCTCCGTAATTGAGTTTTTAGGATTTGAAGAGTCTTATTTAAGGGGAGACTCAATTAATTTGTACTCTCTTTTATATTAACAGATTTTTAATAATGTCTAATTATTTATTCAATGTATAATTTATGTATACCGATCAAAAAAATTATATCTATATAGTAAATTCGTCCAACTATGTACATGAAATCCCCTTACTAATCCAATCAAAATGAACCATTATATATATATATAATACAATAAGGTAACAAAGATAAAATCTTTATTTGATTTTAAAATTTATGTTTTCAAAGAAGAAACAAACCATAGGAGGGGACATTTAATTTACAACTAGCAATGCAAGCCAGATGAATATTAAATAACAAAATGCATGCCATACAATCAATTCCTCTCTCTTTCCCCTTTCAAGCAATTATTTTCGTCCTTTTTCTTTTGTCCCTCTCCAATCCATTATGTATATATATGCATAGACAAAACAAAATAAAGATAAAAATGTCCAAACAAACCAATATTTTGTGTATAAACTATTCGTATACACGTACAAAATACCCCCTTTGGTCTTCAATAAAGTTTACATAATAAACGTGGAGTAGGCACAGCCACTAGTCGATTAGCCAATGGAGCAGTAAGCCCAAATATATCATCCATTTTTAGTTCACTTGGTTTCATTCCATCAGGTAACTCCCAAGTAAAACAATGAAGTAAATGGGCCACAGCCATTTCTAATGCATAAAGCCCAAGTTGCATACCGGGGCAAGACCTTCGACCCGACCCAAATGGTAAAAATTCAAAATTACCACCTTTAAAATCTGCCACACCTTCTTTAAGGAACCTACTTGGCTTGAAACTATCAGGATCTTCCCATGAGTTTTTGTCACGTCCAATTGCAAACGAATTTATGATAACATGTGAGTTTGCTGGAATAAAGTAGCCCGAGACTGTCGATTCCTCCGCGGTTTCGTGGAGGAGGAGAGGGATTGGAGGGTGAAGTCGGAGAGTTTCTTTTAAACAACATTTTAAGTAGGTCAAGTTTTCAAAATCGGATTCATCAACTTTCCTATTGAGTCCAACTACGTTAGCTAATTCTTGTTGTACCTTTTTAAGATCCTCTGGACTTTTCATAAGCTCAGCCATGGCCCACTCTATCGCAGATGCCACCGTCTCGGTCCCACCAAACATTACATCCTGCGATTTTATCAATATTATTTTACTTTTTAATATTTTAGGTTTATTAAAGTTAAATAGGTATATGTAGTTAGGTGAGGGGATTAGGTAGAAGTAAGATAAACTATAACTTTTACATCGTTTTCACAAAAAATGATTTTTCAAAGGGATAATGAATGGTGCCAAATTTTCTACATAGGTATTTATTGGCCAGTTTGAAATGTTAATTATAGAGTAATTTGAGTAAGGGACCCCCAATGGTTTTTACATGTTAAATATAATGATTTTTTTTAATCATTAGTAAATTCTTCCTGGAGTAACTTTTTCACATTAAAAGAAATTAGGCAATTGTACTTGAAAACTTTTTGTTACCTAATTAATCTTCCATCTCTGCCACTTGACAAAATACCATTGAAGCTAAAATCAAGATTATTAATCTTATTAGTCTCATGAGTCATGATATATGTCATGAGTAGAGAGACTTATAAATTAATAAAAATCTAATTATAAGATCTAGTAGTTGTACAGTACGCGAATTTCTTTGTACTATTTAATTCTAGAAAACTATTTAGTAGACCATAGCTAGGACATGAACAATTATATTATATATGACAAGACATAGTTGTAATCATATTTGGTGTTTATTATATTTGATGCGACGTTGAAGCTAATAATTTAAAGGAAATTAATGTTTCTATTATATGACATTCCACTAGAATCAAGTTGTATGAAAAAATGGAAATTAAAGTGAGATTTTTTCCTAATGAATTGTAGTAGTAATAAGTTTCATCAAATTTTTAACTATAAAAATATGGGGTGACACCAAATTTTAATATACTAGGCCGGTTATCAATTTTCAACAATATTCTTCCTTTCTCTCTTAATATTAACTTTGTAAAGATTGAGAAACTTTACTAAATAATTATCAAAATTTTCATTTAACAAAGGAAATTTCAAATTATAAGTAAAGTACTAAAACTATACATTGGACATATTTTCACGAAAAATATGTGTTGCCTAAGCTTCTGGTAGTCTTGAGAGTTATACGTTAGCTGCCAGAGACAGCCGTGTTCAGTGATATATCTGATTAAAATTTAAAGTTTCTTGTTTTGGGCAATATCAACTTAATTTATGTTTAAATTAAGTTTCAAAAAAGTTATTATCACAAAAATACTATGACATATTTTAAACTACTCATTTTTTTATTAAAAAATATATTTCTTATATCCCTTATCAATTCAAACTCTAAAAATAAAACCACAAATATTATGATATATTGATGCCACAGGTTTAAAAAAAAATTGTTGTCACATGACATGTTTCTTTTTAACAAGAAATGCCACAAGTACAAGTTTAGTTTTTCTTTTTAAATAATTTAAATTAGGCATAATATAAAACATGACTATTAATTTGACTTTATTGAACAATTGTGCCCTTCCATTATGAATGTGTACAAGTAAATATTTAGACTTGTATAGAATTGAATAAGTAGACATAAATATTCTACATGACATAGTACACGTTGGGTGCGATGTAGTTATCAACTGATGTCAAATTAAGAATCATTTTTATGTATTATATTTTTAAATTATAACACATTAATTGGAACATGTATCAACCACACACACAGAAAGAAAAGGGTAAAAATAAAAAGAATGTAAGGATATTTGTTTAATCAAACTTACCATGATTATAGCTTTGATATTATCCCTAGTAAGCCTTATAGCATTCTGCAAATCTTCAGACTCATTTACTTTTGTTTCTTCACTGTAAAAAGCTAAAAGCTCATCCACCATATCACTTTCTCTATAACCATCATCATTAATAACATGAATAGCCTTCTTTCTTTCAATATGATCATCAATTATCGTATCAATAAATCCATCAAGTGATGCCCTTGCCTTAGCAAGTCTAACATTTAGGCCTTGCTTACCAATCCACCCTAGCCATGGAATAAAATCAGCCATGTTAAAAGCACCAAATAGCTTCGAAAATTCTTGCAAAATTTTAATAAAATCATCTTGTCCTTCATCTGAACTTGTCCCAAAAGCAGCTCGATAGATAATGTTACGAGTGAGACAGAAAACAAGTTCCCCTAAGTTAATTGATGTGCCCGTGTTGGTTGTAACTATCTTTACCATCGAGTCTACTTCGTCGCGAACCGAGTCCCATGACTCAGCTCGTTTACGACTGAATAATTTCATAACACATAATTTTCTCATCTGACGCCAAAACGGTCCGTAGTCAGCAAAAGCCATGTCCGCACGATCGTACGTTAGGTAACTTATCGCTACGGTCTTTGGACGATTCGAATATATGTTGTCTTGTACCTGTTAGAAATTAAATAATCTGTTTAATTTAATATTTGAAAAAAATAAGATACTAGTATGTTAATACTAGTGATCATCAGTCAGATGAGATGGTCAGATATTTCAATAGTACCTGCAGTACTTGACGAGCTTCTTCTGGACCAGATATAACAATTTTGTGGACATAACCCATTTTGAGGTGAAAAACGCCACCATATTTTTGTGCAAGTTTGGCAAGACCACGGTGAGTTAACTGGTCCATTATCATCATGTTACCAATGAGAGGCCAGCCTAATGGTCCTGGAGGATAACGTTTACGGCGGGACATCGAAAAAAGGTATAAGAAGAAGAGAGGGATGATGAAGAAGAAGATTAGTATAGGGTTAGCTTGTAAAGCTTCAAGAATTGAATTGATATTGTTTAGTACCATTTCATTCATTTTGTTTACAATGCTTTCTCTTTTTTCTTTGATTTTTTTGGTATGTTTGGTTTGTTTTTTGAGTGGAGAGTTTAGGAGATGTTGGGATGAACTCAAAATTTTGGTTCTACCTTTTAATATTGGTGGATAGGATGGGGTCTTTATATACAAATTTATTTCACTTTCAGTCGGTACCAAGTTGGTGTATACTGTTGATTTGGCGAAAACAATATGCTATATTTAAGAGTGTAACTTTGTATATTGATCGATGCGTTTGGTATAAACCATATTTAAGATCACAGGAGGAAGAGCGATATAATTTAATTTTAGGATTATAAGATTTAAATATTTTTTTAAATTAAACTGGAGAGTAATAATCTTATCCTGGTTGGTTAGAAATATAGATCAAATTATATATCTATACGTATATACAATACTATAGTGGAGCAAATTCTAGATTATGAAAGCAGACATATATGGACAACAATAGTTTAAATGCGATTAAAATAATCCAATATATTATTCTTATATTAAGATTTATATTAAACTACTCCCATTATATTATATTAGTATATTGATCTTTTAAGTCAAAGACTGACCCAAGCTAGTCCACAACTTTATATGAGAGGGGAACTTGTCACTAGCATCTCGTACTACAAGTAGCTGAACGGCCAAATTCACCGAAAAAATCGACCAAGTTAGGCGAATTAGACAATATTGTATAGAGTCAGAATTTTTATTAAAAGAATTTAAAATATAAAAAAATAAATGGTACGAATTAATTAAGACCTTGAGAGGTTGTTTAATTAAAACAAACTTAAATATCTAATTAAATGTCGAAACAAATTTAAAGTGCTGGTTCGTATTTATATATATAAACACTTAAACCAGACAAAATAAGTTGTGTGATGCATTTTGTAATTTCAGAGAATATCCATATATATTTTAATCTTTCACGCAAACCTCGAATGTTGTAAAAACTCCTGTTACATATTTCCTAATATCGCACACAAATCAATGTTTAATCTAAATTTTGATATAATTTTTTTTTATTTCTTAAAAAATTAACTTTACGTATTTAAAAGATCGCTATCGCTATTACTACTACAAAGAGACTAGCCGCGACAAGAGATCCCACTAGTCCGGCTAGCTAGTGAGCGGTTCTTTCGGGTGGAAAGCAGGCCGGACCCTACGGGTTGGAAATTCCAACTCGAAAGCCCTAGTATTACTGACTTTAGAAATTTTTTACTTTTCAAATAATAATTAAAACAAACAAATCGAAATTAGTGTACACAATATCATTAGCTGACGATTCTATCTTTAACATATGGTTTTATCTGAAGGGCTTGTTTTATATGCGGTATTGGATTATTGTATTTTGTATTTCTAATTAGGAATATTAATTAATTCTTAAATTATTCATTTTTATTTATATGATCGATAGTAGTAAAATAAATTATTTCATGTATATGATAAAATAACTAATTATGAAATATTTCAATCCATATCAAATAAAATAAAGTTGTACCATACCAAACCAACCCCATCCTACTTTTGCTAGAGCACGAAATACAAATACATTTTCTTTGCTTTATAAATAATCTATTATTTTTCACGTGAGAGTTGTGATAAATTGTGCAGCGAAGAATATAATATGAAGAGTTCGTACTCCGCACGAGTTAAATGATGATAAACTATTTAAGCCCACTTTTTAAGAAAAATAAGTAAAGATTTTGATGTAAAATTTCATTTATCTACAGTAGTGTTTTCTTATGTGACGCTAGAACCATCGGGAAAAAAAAGCTTCACCTCACCAGTTTTAAGTTAATGACTTTTGAAGAAGCTCGATTAGTTTGAATTTAGATCAAAAAAAGTTTTATTTAAAAAAATATACCTATCAAAAGCCATTAAAATTAAATATTTGATCATACTTAATTATGCATTGCAATCTTAATTTTTGACGATGTTATTTCATTTATTACCATTTTAATCTATTAGCAGGACGAATTTTTTTCAAAATCCTGTCACGATCCAAATCCGGGCCACGACTGGCACCCACACTTACCCTCTTATGTGAGCGAACCAACCAATCTAAACCTTAACATTTCAAGGTAATATCAACGTAAAGTAATGCGGAAGACTTAAACTCATTAATAAGACCAATAACTATTATTATTCCCAAAATCTGGAAGTCATCATCACAAGAACATCTATAATCAAGTTACTAAACTAAGAGTATTCTAAGAAGCTAAAAATACATAAGAAGCTAGTCCATGCCGGAAGTTCAAGACATCAAGACTTGAAGAAGAAGATCCAGTCCAAGCTAAAAGCATTAGCTCACCCTGAATTTCCGATGCAGTAAGACTGGCTTGAGTTACTGTTGAGTCGAAGATGACGGCACGTTTGCTGCACTCCACAAATAAACAAGAAGAAAACAATAAAAGTAGGGGTCAGTACAAAACACGGGTACTGAGTAGATATCATCGGCCAACTCAAAATAGAAAACAGTATATATCAGATAATATCATAAAATCAACTAATATCCTTAGCATGCAGCATTTACAGTTACCATAACCCTTGGTTAAAACACCAAGCACATCAATGAGGACTCACGCCTCCTCATCATACTCATTTGGGAATTTAGTTCATTAGATTGGATATATTAACATATTTCAAGATTCATTATCTTTATTCCCATCGTGTCGGTACATGACACTCCGCTCCTCATTCTATCCTGGTACCGGAACGTGGCACCCGATCCATATTCTATCCTGGTGTCGGAACGTGACACCCGATCCATATTCTATCCTGGTACCGGAACGTGGCACCCGATCCATATTCTATCCTGGTGTCGGAACGTGACACCCGATCC